GCTTTACAGGCTTAATTTTGCCGTGTTAGTTAAAAGAACAAAAGGAGCCTGGAGGTATTCCTGGGCAGGACATATGCCTGGGTTGCTGGCTCCATCCCCAGTAGGGGGTGTGCAGGAGGCTTGCAGGAGGCAGCTAATCAATGATTCATCATTAATGTTTCTGTTTCTCTCTCCCTCTCCCTTTCTCTCTCTGAAAACAATAAAAACATATTTATAAAACAAACAAAAAGGACAAAAGGAATTCAAGTGGTTATTTGACACCAGGTAGGCAAAACTAGCAGGTTGTTGAATAATTTCTAAAAGGTCTACTATATTAATTGGAGGTTACATTAACATAACTGAATAGAACAAAGGTTAAGACTTATAGTCAAGGATCATACAGAATATATTTGATACTATTTGATTATAAATACTGTCCATTGTTAAGTTCATAAGTTAATGTTCTTTAACCAGGGTTGCTTCTTACTATATTCTAAACTTAGATGCTTTAAAACTTCTTAAGACCCCTGGCTGGGTGCCTCAGTTGGTTGGAGCGTCTTCCAGTACACCAAAAGGTTTCCAGTTCGATCCTCTATTGGGGCACATATGGGAGGCAATCAATTGATGTTTCTCTCTCACATCAATGTCTCTCTCTCTCCCTTTCTCTCTCTTTAAAAATTAAAATTAAAAACAACAACAAACTTCTTAAGAAAACCTCAACCCAACAGATAATCTACGTTTTATTTGTAAGATCCCATAACATTTAAAAAAATATATATTTTTATTTTTTATTTCAGAGAGGAAGAGAGAGGGAGAGAGAGAGAGAGAGAGAGAGAGAGAGAGAGAGAGAGACATCAATGATGAGAGAGAATCATTGATCAGCTGCCTCCTGCACGCCCCACACTGGGGATCAAGCCCGTAACCCAGGCATGTGCCCTGACCGGGTTCATAGGTCGATGCTCAACCACTGAGCCATGCCTGTTGGATGACCCCATAGCATTTTTGCTAGTATGTGGAAAGGTGGGCATTTGGGAATGTGAGCTTCAGTCTTTTCCTTTCTTTCTAGGTCCTAACACATTACCTCCAGACTCTGCAGTCAGACCCTTATCTCCTTTTCCATTTTTCAGGCCCTTATCTCCTTTTCCATTTTGGCTTCACTAGATAGCCATTCCTTTGGCTGTGCTAATCTCTCACCTTTGACCTCATTCCAATTAAAGTAAAGTTTAGATCTAAACTTCTAACTTCTACTGAGAACAAATGACTTTGTAAAAAAGCTGCTATTGGGATTTCAAAGTGTTACCTAAACCTTAAGGATTGTTAGTTGGTGGAAGAGTTGTATAACAGGCAGAAGTGTTAGATTCTATTGCTAGGCTGCAACAGTTGTTTGTATGCCAGCCTGGAACTTGAACACAACTGCTTCTCTCTGAACAAAATACACTGAGTTATTTTTCATCTGCATTGTGAAGAGGGAGGTATTGCTAAACATGGGGATTACATATAACTTTGGGAAACAATGGCTTTATTTGGGTAAGCAGAGATTAATATCTACAGCTTTGTTAACAAAATGGGTTGGGACATAAAAACCCTTGTGGGGTTTTTTTTTCTTTTATAAGAAAAATGACACTTGAGAAGTTATTTTGTTGTGTAGGACAACCATGAAAATGTATCATAGTGGCATGTTGTGATTATGTAGATGATATGTCCATGGATAAATCATATTTAGAACACTTTAGAGTTAATAAAACTATTATAATGTTTAATTATTTCCATTTGTTAGATCTAGAATCAGCTTTCTGTTCTCAGGTATAGACAGCTGTTTCCCAGCTTATATTTTCAGAATTCCCTTTAAATTTTGGTCCTGATTTCTTGATTTAAATTTCCAAAAGACACTAACTAGATTTTACTATTTCCCCCTCTACATATAGGAAAGTAATAACTGGATTATGTACAAAACACAAGTAAAATTCTGCAGAGAAGCAATTTTACTCACTCTTAAATTGAATTAAAATTGTTGCCTATTCTCTCAACTATTCTTATGTCCTTTTAATTGACATATTATCCCTAAACCAATTTTAATTTTCCACATTGATTCAAATAGTCTCCTTCATTTAGTTGAAAAGTCAATGTCTGCTCCAAAACATTAGAAAAAAGTGTAGACTTATTTCTCTTAAAACTAATTTCTAGCCATTTAAAAAGTCTGCCCATTAAACTAATAATAGAAATAAAAGAGTTGAAATCACTGTCTGAAGAATGAATCACATGTTCTTATTCTGAATTATGTTTGGAACAAAAAAAGTATAAAAGTCAATAATAATTAAATAAAATACAAGGCTCATAGTCCGAACCCTGAGGGTTGAAAGTTAAAAAACCTTAAGTGAAAAGTGAAATTTTAAGGTGCCTGAATTAACATGGAACCTAAAGACAGGACGTGAAGACATGTGGCTGGACATCCATTTGGACTTACATCTTTCCCATTCTGCACATCTTTGTCATCTTTTTCTTTCTTCGAAGACAGGTGAACTCTGAATTTCTATGTGTCCCATGAAGTGACCTCTAGAGATTGCCCACCTCTCTGTCCAAAAAATGAGGAAGAGAGAACCTAATTGGCTCAACTGTGGCCATGTGACTAGGTACGGCCAGAGGGCAGTTCCCTAATTCTGCTCTAGAGAAAGGGGTTGGGAAGGTACTCAGAAATGTTAACTAAATACAACTTTCATCAACACATGACCCTACCCTTTCCATTAAATAAGCATTTTTTTTTTTTTTTGCATCACAGGTAATTACAGTTATTTTCTGGGGCATCTTTGCCCACTCCTTGCTTCACATGTTATTCTCCAGTAACAAAGAATTGCTTATGGTGCCATCTATTCATTCTCAGTACCCATATCTCCTAACGAAATCAATGAATTGCATGCCTAAATTCTGGTGGTCCTCTGTCTTGTAATGGTCCCCTTCCAAATCTCTTTATTCTTCAGGAGGCACGGCCAATGTTACTGCTTCCAGCAGACCTTCCCAATATCTTTATCTTCCTGAGCTAGTTATCTTCTTTCTTTATGCTCATAACATTGTGCAGGTAAATCTCTACCATAGTCAAGCTCCATTGCTTGTGATTTCCTGTTTAGGTTTTGGCATCTTTATAATGCAGACACAGTGAGCCTGGCCTATAGTGGGCGCTCCAAAATAGCTGAATGAATATACAGATACTCTCAGTTTCCTTTTAGTTAATGATTTGACTATCTGAAGTTAAAAGTGTGTCATTGTGTGAAAAGTATTGTCTGTATGAACCCCTTAGAAGTGTTAACTTAACAAAGAATTAGGTGTCAGGAAGTTCTTATCTAACTCCTCTTGATATACCTGCAGTTTACCTGGTGCCTAACTGGTTTAATTTCCTCTTAAAACTTTTACTGGACTTACTTTCCCATCCTTTTGGAGCAATATTGATCTAGTGAAGGAATGGTCAGAGCATCTGTTTATGAAATTATTTTATTTTCTCTGCATATAAACATTACTTTTCAAAGGCAATTTCATTAACTACAAACTGCAGTTCTGTGGACTTTCAACAAGTTTAATTTACAAGGTTCGCCTTGAGACATACATATTTTTCTTAGTCTTAAAGCCCATTTTTGCACTCTAGTCCTGAAGAGTTGACTACATCTCCCAACTTACCATTAAATGCTCTCTTCGGCCCATCTCCTCACCCCTTGACATTTTATCAGATAGGGCAACCTTGGTTAATCCTAAAAGGAAATTTTGCAAATGGTTGACTTTTGTTAATCTCAGGTTTTGAGAATAGGGGGTAAAAGAGTTTGCTCAGATAACAGTTTTAAGCTGAGTTTTCTCTCCAAAAAAAAATTAAAAACAACAGCAAAACCTTCAGGACCGCTTTTGGGTACATTGGGTCAGGCAGCCCCGAAAGTCCTAATAAATGAATTAGCAATTCAGAAAGGAGACCACTGAGGGGCTGATATTGATCAAGGTCAGCGACTGTTTGCCTGCGTTTGTCAGGGGGGTGGTTAATTGCGTGTCAGCCTAGGCCTGTGTCGTCTTGCTGGCGCCGGGTGCTTTTTGGATTTGCTAATTTTCGTTAAGTGTCTCTACTCGTCCCCTGTCTACCCAGGAGAACTTAGCGGCTCCTACTGATCAACAGTCTGTCTGTCTGGGCTTTATTGATCACAGGGCAGGCGGCTCTTAGAGGATGCACTGGGGGGAAAGTATGTGTGGGGGAGGGGAGCTGAAAGCAAAACGGAGCCCGGCCACCCTCCTTCCAGGCTCCCTGCTGGACCCCCCCTCTCCATCGCCACACGCCAGCCAGCGGCTCTCGGCACAAGCGCACGCCAGGGACCGTCACTTGTCCCTGGGGCTTCCAGAGCGCGCAGAGTGGCGGGGGAGGGCTTTGAAAGGCGGCAACGCGGGCCCCTCGCGTGTTTCAGGGGGAACAAAAAAGAAGGCACGGGCTGGGGGCGCTGGCCCAAGGCTGAGTTGTGAGGGTCTCTAGAGATAGACCTAGCGGCCAAGCGCGCCTCGGAAGGTCAGGGATTCGCCTCCCTCCGCTAGAGGGAGCGCGGGACACAGCAATGGGGGGCGGGGAGGGCTGCCCCGGCCAGCC